TCTTGCAAATAAAAATAATCATAAACTGTATCTTAGAATATCAAGAATCTCTACTTATTTTATATGTATTGAAAAAAATTAGAAAGTCTGTATCTTGAAATGCCTTTAATAATTCTTACTAAAAAATATCATTAATGTCTGTAACACCTGGTTATACGAAAAGCAATTTCAATACCCATAATATCTATTTGCACAATTCCTTCAATGAAGAAGAATGAATATTGATTGACAATATCTTGACTTTTCATCAATATGACTGCCTTTTATCTAAAAGGCCACTTCTTTTATAAGTAAGAAAGCAGCAGAATTATATATTTGTTCACTTCTAGACAAAAGAAAGTCTGACATCTATATTTGCAATAATATTAAGACTAACTAACAATTCCCTTTACATACATAAAGAAGATTTTGAAATATTCATATCTTTATTGTGTACACAAATTTTAGGAACTAATTTTCTACACAACAAATCAATTCTACATGTAAAATGGAAATTACAATGTGTAAAAAAAAATAATAAATATAAATAAATAAATAAAATAAAATATATAGATAAAAATATTAGGTGTTGATAAAAAAGAAAATCTATAACAAAAAATAAAATGTTTATAAAAATACTACAGCACCATAAAGAATTGCAAGACGTTGCATTGCAGATAAGGTTTAACAAATTACTGTGCTCAAAGAAGGGGACAATCTAAGGTTGTAAAGTCTATTAGAAATTTTTTCAGGAGTTCTTCTAAAGCAGCCAATTCAGGGATGTTTTTGTTTCTTCTTCTTTGCTGGCCTTATTCATATAAAAAATCCAAAAGTATAAATGACTGTTACATGTAAAGAAAAACTGTATCCTGCAGTTACAACAATTTTCTTTTATTATTAAAGGAGGTTAACAGCTGGATTAATCTATTACTCACACAGCCTTCTGGATTGGCAGCCTTATACTACTTGAACAGCAGAAATCTCCTGTTTGTTCTCTTTAGGAGAGAGAGACCTGAACCCTGGGAATCGAAGAGGTGCATAGCAAAGTTTCTACATAATGGGGGGGTTTGTGAAATTTAAAAAATAATAATAATAACAAAATAAAGCTGGGAAATGAAAATACAGATGTGTAGTTATCATAAAAAAGTAAAAGAAAATACAGAAAATTCACAAGAGCTCACTGCTTGGTCATAAGAATTATTTCCTAGGCTCAATTTACTCAAAGAAGGCCATCACCTATTACCTATGGAAGATCAAGAAAGTAAAGTGGCAGAACTGAGCAGGGTAGCTGCTTTAGGATTCAATATAACTTATAAAGGCATAGACATTTGGTACAGGATTACACTAATGACAAACAGACCTGATTTCCAAGCTGTGTATAACCATTAAGCCTGATAATACATCGTAACTATTCACAATGAAAATGGGAAAAAGGTTTTCCCTGCAGGGAAACAAAGCCCTGTTATTAATGTATTCACATCACCAGTATTTATGCCTTTAGCAAAAGTTATTGATGAATACTCTTACCTTCTGCCCCTAAACCCAACCCAGAACCCTTCATCATGATCATCATCATCAAGCGTCATCATCAAGGGACGAGTTTTCGAAAATGGAGGTTATCTTGTCACGCATTGATGGACTCGGGAAGAACATCAAATTACCACTCAGTCCATCCTCCCCCATCTCATCCATGCTCTCCTGAATGAGGCAATGTTCCTACTAAGGTATATATTAACCACAACATACACTCTGGCTCTTAACAAAAAGATGTGTCAAATGAAGTCTTAAGATCACATCCAACTACCAGTAGTTCCAGGCTTACATCTCATAGCCATAGCAAAATGTAGAAAATAATAACAACAACAATAATTAATACACAAATTTTGTTGTTTATCTTTGTTCATGTAAAGAAACATTGTCTTTTCTCAAATATATGTTGCGTAATTTGTATAAATTTATAGAAAAAGTTGTGTCCTGTGTTCTTTGTGCATATCATGTGTTATCTATTTCAATGAAAGATAAATGTCTTCAAAATTACATATTGATTATACTGAAAAATTGTTTTATTCTATGGTTACTCAGTGCTCCAAAAAGGAAAATGTTTATGTATAAGAGGTCATGCTGCTAAAAGTCCAACACATGAACTAGCATCAAAATGTCTAGAAGTACAGTCAAGAAGAGAATTCCCTGGAAAATGCAGGTATTTTTCACAACTATATTCTTTCTTTACAAGCAATAAATTACAAAAATCTTAAGTGAGTAGAATAGCAATCTCTATCAAGACATGCGCAGGACACCAGAACTGCCTACCATTTGGTGAAAAAAGCAACACTGTCTATTATATCCAAGGAATCTTTAACTCAACTATATATCATGATGTACCACTATCACTGACAACAAAAGAAACAAATATCTTTAAACAACTGATACAGGCAATGTGATTTACTTGAGCCAAGACTATGATAGATTTACTTGTAAAGGGATTTACAAGGAGAGTGAAGGACAAATGAAAGATGAAATGAAAAATTTAACAGCCCAGAAAGACTTATACTTTACTAACCTAATGATAATAATATGAGTGAGTTCATGATAATACAGTGCTAAAGCAAAAGGCTTTGACCCAAAATAATGACCCAAAAGTTTTTGCATCTTAATTTTTCGAAATCAATTTTGGCAAGTAATATCAGAAATATTATTCAGAGCCAGAGCCATCAAAATAACTCATCCTCTATACTAGCAATATACAATAATGCAATTTGAATGTGGACCAGTTCTTTATGACTGTTATTTGGTAAATGGAAGTAGCAGCTATATGTAGATCGCATATTCTATATACTAACATTTTTTGGAAATCAACTGGATACTGTGGAGTTTGTGTTCCAAGACATAGTGTAACAGAAGCATGCAAGTTTATCTCAAATTCTGAATTTGTGATTGATGAATATGCTTATTCGTATTGTGTAACATTAATTGTGATTGGTGCAATTCATGAGGAAAAATGTGGAGATGAGTGCATTACATAATAGGCCAGGCAGCTATGTAAACTTTCTAGAACTACAGTATAGACTTTATATATGTATATAATTTCTTCAAATAATGACTATATAACAAAAACTTTTCACATTTCAGTAAACATTACCCTAAAGATTATAAATCAATAAAATTTCTTATACTATAAACATCTATAAATAGTTTTTGACAACATATTACTATGATTTACTGTTTGCATGTAAGCCTGCAGACTGCCAAGTATTAAAAAATATATTTCTTAAACTCATGCAAACTAGATGCAAAATAAAACAAGGAAAATTAAACACAAAAATATGTATCAAAATTATCAACAGCAATTACTTTTGATAATGTGTGCAGCTGAAAAAAAGAAAGGGAAAAAAAGGAGAACCTAATAATACCTATTTCAAAATTTGGGCTATAATATGAAAATGGGTGCTTTCTAACCATTCTTGGAATTATGAAACTGAAAAGAAAAATATTAAAATCACAAGAAACCTAATGCACTTTGTTACTGACATCAAACAAAAAATAAAAATCCAATCTTTTCAAATGAATATGTGCCACCACGTCTGTCCGTCACACCCCTGCTTGATACCATAATCTTGGAAAAAGAAAGTTGAAAGAAACACAAGGAAAAAGAACTAACTAGAAAATAAAACAATGCATGAAGGAAAAACATTACTCTATATAAATGGTTAAACCTAGTACTATTAAAGATGCCTTTACAGAAAAAGGAGCACCAAAAATCAGTAACTTTCTGATGAAACTCCAAAAAAGAAAAAGGAGAATCACAAAATGATAAAAGAAAAAAATGCTAAACTTAAAAGTAAAATTGGCTTAGGATGAGGTTTAGAAGAGAAAAACCTGAGATTCATAATTTTTTGATCAATTTTCTCTTTGGCAAAAGCAAAAAATAATATATATATATATGAAATAAAACATTCTCACTTTCTTTACAGTGCACATATGAATGCAGTCAATTCATTCAAAATTTCACTTGTGTAGCTAAGAAAGGGAAAGGGAAAGGGAAAGGGAAAGGGAAAGGGAAAAGGGAAGGGAGGGAAGGGAAGGGAAGGGAAGGGAAGGGAAGGGAAGGGAAGGAAGGGAAGGGAAGGAAGGGAAGGGAAGGGAAGGGAAGGGAAGGGAAGGGAAAGGGAAGGGAAGGGAAGGGAAGGGAAGGGAAGGGAAGGAATAGAGATAGGGAGGGGAAGGGAAAAGAAAAGAAGCAAAGCAAAAAGAAAGAAGAGGGAAAAGAAAAAGGAAATATAAACATGCTCACACAACCAGCTCACACAATTTACTTTAAGGATTCCAATATGCCAAAGAGACTGCAGATCATAAAAATAATAGAAGTGCTCAGCAAATCAAATATTCTATATCTACAACCATTATTTACATCTTTTATTTAAACATTGTCTATTAACCTTACAAACTCAGCACATCATACTACCTCAGCAAAGCCACAAACAGAGAGAAAAAATACTATTTCCTTCACATCCTCTAACAATGAAATATTTTCCTAAAAAATAAGAACTAAATTAAAAAAACGAATGCATGTTAGTGTACTCAACTTGTTTGTTACTTACTGCATTTGCACAGTCAGGTCGCAACTTTCTGAATATCTGTTCCACAAAGCCTCGCCTGCAAATAGAGCATTAATTACCAGTTGTTCCAACTTCCAGTATGCTTTCAAATCACTATAAAAAATACTTTNCACACACACACGCACACACCACACACACACACACACACACGCACACACACACACACACACACACACATACACACACACAGAGGGAAGAGAGAGAGGAGAGAGAGAGAGATGAGAGAGAGAGAGAGAGAGAGAGAGAGAGAGAGAGAGAGAGAGACAGAGACAGAGAGAGAGAGAGAGAGAGAGAGAGAGAGAGAGAGAGAGAGAGAGAGACAAACACACACACACACACACACACACACACACACACACACACACAGAAAAGAGAGAGAGGAGAGAGGAGAGAGTGAGGAGAGAGAGAGAGAGATAGAGAGAGAGAGAAGAGAGAGAGAAGAGGGAGAGAGAGAGAAGAGAAAGAAAGAGAGAGACAGAGACAGAGACAGAGACAGACAGAGACAGAGAGAGAAAGAAAGAAAGAGAAAAAAAAACGACAAGCAAATGAACAAAGACACAACCGCCTCAAGGAGGACCTACTGGCAAGAGGACCTTCCTAGTCGCGCTTATATAATTGCAACTTTTCGCACATACCTGGTCTCGGGTATGACGTCACGGGTGGGGACGGTCATTCACTGCAGGTGAAAAGAGGGCCACCTCTGGGCGAATATTTTTTTTATTATTATTTTGTTATTATCATCATTGTCGTTATATTGTTATTATATTTATTATTATTATTGCTATTATTATTATCATTATTATTATTATTATTTTATTATTATTATTATTATTATTATTGCTATCATTATTATTATCATTATTGTTATTATTATTATCATCATCATTATTGCTGTTGTTGTCATCACCATCATCTTTATCATCATCATTATCATCATCACCGTCATCGTCATCGTCATCGTCATCATCTTTATCATCTTCATTATGCTACCACTAACAGGATTATGTATCAGTGATGTTGTTAGTAATCTATTATTAGTGCAATTATCTCGATTGTTATCCACGTTTTTTTTTATCAGTACTCTTATCGTTATCATCATCATCATTATGCTTCTATTTTTTTCGAATGAATACCATTGCAATTATTGTTAGAAGTATTATTACTATTAAATTCATTTTAATCATTATCGAAATCAGTATTGTTAATATCATTATGAGACTATGATTATCATTATCATCATATCATTATTATTACCATTATCAGTATCATTGTCATCATTCATCTGCAGGAATAATAGCAACATTATTATATCAATGACTAAACTAATACAAATGAAAATGATAGCAATGACGACAATAATGATAATAGTAATTATTATTATCATTATGATTATTATTATCATTATTCTATTGATATTATTAATATAATTATTCTCGTCATCAGCAGCAGTATTGTGATGTTATTCTTTTATGTATTTGTATTAGTATGATAATGACTTATTTTTGAAGAAATTATTACCGTCGTTATATTTTTTAACATTAACATTATCACCATCATCGCTTGTTTCTGTCTCTTTTCTCTGTCTGTCTGTCTGTCTCAAGACCACTGTCACTATCTTTATGTTTATTTACTATTGTCGTTCTTAAGTATAATAAAAAACAAACTTGTTTTACAATTACCGACATGATTACCTTACAGCATACAGACAGACACACCAGAAATAACTACCAGAATGCGCCCACGGTCATCGAGAACACACATCAACTAGATATGACTTAGAACGAAGCTCAATCGAAGTGTGTGAAGTGTGAAGCAGCGTGGAGTGTGAGGGTGCGGCGGCGGCGTCTGAACCGAAGATGGGGCCGAAGAGCCAATCTATCCCCATACTGGAAACGAGGGGGAACTACGTGGAAACGACGCCACTACTCAACCAGGGTAGTTATCCGCGCCTGTACAATTACCCAGCGGACAATCCGACGCACACGTTCCTCAAGAAGCGATGCCGAGTTCGAGAGCGTCTTGGGTTCATCTTGAAGAACGTGACTGTAGAACCTTTCATGCTGTTGAACGTCTTGTCTTGGACGCTGCAGACCACGCTCGTGACGAACCTCGTGCTTGAAAAGGTAAGGGAAATAAGTTCAGATTTTTATTTATTTATTTATTCTTATTATTGTTTTATTTATTTTTTAAATTGTATTTATCTATCTATTTATTTGTCTGTCTGTCTGTCTACTTATTTATTTATTATTATTATTCTATCTATTTTTTTCTGCGTTTTAATTTTTGGTGCAGTTAGGTCAGGCGGTTATTTTCATTTTGTTTCATTTTAGCAATTCAGTATAATTTGTTCTTAATTAATTTGTCTACTGTTTTTTTTTCTCTTTTTTTAATCTCCTCTAATAATGTTGTCAGTTTTTTAGGCTTAGTTTGGTTTACTGTAATGTATTTTAGTATTTTTTTCAGAGTAAAAGTATATTTCATTTCTCTTATCATATAATACCAGCCTTAGATTGATATGTCAGAAAATCATAACATTTCCGTGCCATACACATCTCTCCTACTTTGAACTATTATGAACAAACTTTGTAAGTGAAGTAATTAAACCGTTAATGTCTAATATTTTTAATCGTTGTAGGCCTAGTCATGTTTCAGTTCATATTTGTACTCTTGTTATTGTACATGTGTTCAAGGCGGTTCACATTTGTGTGTTAGGTACAGTACTGAACATTCGGTACGGTAATATGCTAATTTTATCTTATAATAATGTTCCTGTATGACTTCTTTGTTGCATTTTTGGTATGTGATGAATATATCTTACTCCGCCGGGCTTAACCTAAGATATAAATGATATGAAGATACTTTCTGAATGTGATTTTATCCATCTTTCGTATCAAGTTATTCTGATACCATTTACCTGCGGAAGTATCTCGTGAATCCGTGTTGAAAAATCGTGTGTAATAGTACAAAATAGTCTTCACTAGCTCGGAAGGATTTTACGAGCTAGTTAAGACTATTTTGTATTACTACCACACGTATAATGTTGATGATTAAGCATATATTGAATCAAGGAAACGTATATGAAGATATAGAAGAATATGTTAGTTAATTTCTTAAATTGTCTGATTTTTATTTATATATGCAAAATAGTCTTAACTAAAAAATCCTTCCTCGTTTAAGAGATGGACGTTTTATACCTTTTAATGGTCGTTTCAGTGATAGATCTTAAAAAAAAAAATTACTTCCGGCTGAAGTGTTTTAAGGAATCGGATGCCCCTTTGTTAGTTCTTGAAAAAATATTTCCGGATGGAGTACTGAAGGATTCTGATGCTCCTTTGTTTTTGTTTTTCATACAGGAAGGACTGTGTATCGATCGGTTTCTTTGTCTCACTTATAATGTTGATGATTAAGTATATATTGAATCAAGGAAACGTATATGAAGATATAGAAGAATATGTGAACACACATACACACAACATACACACACACACACACACCACGCGCGCGTACAAGCAAACACACAAACACACCACACACACACACACACACACACACACACACACACACCACACACACACACACACACACACACACACACACACATACACACAACACACACACACACACCACACACACACACACACACACACACCACACACACACACACACACACACACACACACACACACACAACTCACACAGATAGAGATTGAGATACACACACACACCTGGTTGGAAAGTCTGCTGATGACGCACCGAATTCAAATAAGACACAAAATACTGCGCACCATTTTTTTTTCTCTTTGTTTACACGCGCGCCAAAACAGCGACTGAACCTTTTACCCTAAATTACACGTGCCTATGTCTGGAAAATAACGTAGTACGCCCTAAAAACGGTTAAGCTTTCACCTTTTGCTTCGACCATAAACCTTGAACTTTTTGTTATCCTTATCTCGATTTTTTTTTCCTTTTGTTAAAGTGGCCTAAGTATTTTCTGACATTTGTTTGTTTGCTATTACGGCAAGTTACTCTTGAGTCGGACATCCTAAGAACCATTGTTTACTTTCCACAACTTCAACTTGATAGAATTAAAAAGTGACGATTCATGTAACACGAAACCTTTTCATACAAACCCAAGAGTAACCATGGTAACAAAAAATATTTCTAGCGCGGCTCGAACGAATAAAAAAATGACCACCAAACAATTATTTAAAACGCGCGCCATTTTTGTTACATTTGCGCACCACATATTTTGTGTGCGCTCCGTTAATATTCAGCGAGCGTACACACACACACACACACACACACACACACACACACACACACACACACACACACACACACACACACACACACACACACCACACACACACACACACACACACACACACACCACACACCACACACACACACACAACACACACCACACACAACACACACACATATATATATGTATATGTATATATAGTATATATTACAACTTTTTTCTTTTTATATAGACGCTTGGCGAATATGAGTAGGCTTTTCTGACACTGGACAGAGTTCCATCCAGAGAACAAACAGAGAACCTAACCTTAATATAACCATGACAAACTAACCTAATACATAACAAACAACTATAAAGCCTATAACAAAAACATAACAACAAACATAAAAGAAACATAACAAAGAAAGCATGAAAACCATAATAAAAAATAACAAAAAAGCATGAAACATAATAAAAAACATAACAAAGCCATAAAAAATAACAAAAAACCAAAACATAACAAAACATAACAAACAAACCATAACAAATAACAACAATAACAAACCTAAAACCATAACAAACAAACATAAAAAACAACAAAACCATAACAAAAACACAATAAACCATTACAAACCATAAACCACAGTAAACCATAACAAACTATAACAAACCACAATAAACACAACAAACCAAACAACCATAACCATACAAACACAATAAACCATAACAAACCACAATAAACCATAACAAACCACAACAAACCATAACAAACCACAATAAACCATAACAAACCACAATAAACCATAACAAACCACAATAAACCATAAATAACAGAGAACCATACCTAAATCCCGGAACAAGTTTTCTCTTACCCTTGAAATTACTCTGCATAAAAAGGCCTTTAAATTACAACGAATTAGCACAGTATCAAAAGACAACGGAACGGTTTAAATGTTCAAAATGTGTAATTTGCAAGTCGTTATTACGTCTTCATCGGAATGACGTACTTTAATTAGTTAATTTTTAAATAGTTTGTCAGATTTGTAAGTGTTATCCAAAACTATTAAAAATGTGTATTTCATTTCATTATTAAACGTCTTATTATCCATTTCAGGGTTAGTTTGTTATCAGTAATCATTTATATATATATATATATATATATATATATTATATATATATATTATATATTATATTATATATATATAATAATTTACAGTCCGTTTTCACAAATCTTGGAGTCACTCGTATTCTCTAATTATTAAAACAAACAAATCAACTTATCTTCTGGAGAAACTGCGAAGAAAAACCAAACTTCATATAACAAAAAGAAGAAAAAAAAAAAAAATAACCTTTACTCTTCGTTAGGCCTATATTTTGCGTCGGGGTTACTACGCATCTGCTAGCTGTGATTATTATTAGCTATGATTATTATTATCTATTAGCTGTGATGTGTGAATGTTTTCATTGTTTTCATTTGAGGCGGAAGGTGAAATAGCTTGTTTATTTGCGTTCGGCAGTTCAAACATGTAAACGTGTATATATGTATGTGTATGTGTATCTATATCTATCTATTTATATTTATTTATATACACATGTGTGTGTGTGTGTTTGTGTGTGTGTTTGTGTTTGTGTTTGTGTTTTGTGTTTGTGTGTGTGTGTGTGTTTGTGTGTTTGTGTGTGTGTGTGGTGTGTGTGTGTGTGTGTGTGTGGTGTGTGTTTACTTGGATGTCTAAGCGCGTATGTTTTTTAAGTTAACTGCCAAATCACACAAAGCAATCCACATTCCACCCCAAGCACTACGAAAGAGAAATAGATAGAACCAACCCATTTCACCCCCATTTCCTCGCCATTCCACTCACGCCCGTCATAATCAGAATTCCATCTCAAACCACCTTATAAACCGCCTTAACGCCCTCCTCCCCTCCACACGCCCACCCAGGTATGCGAGAGGCGTCACAACCACACGAGTGTCAGAACATCACCGCCCTCGGGACTCCTGAAGAAGGCGCCATCCAGAGGGAGGCCACCTGGCTCCTGATGGTGCAGGAGCTCGTGGCAACCTCCCCGCGTCCTCTACGTCCTCGTGCTGGGTTCCTGGAGCGACAAGTACGGGCGGAAACTACCCATGTTACTGCCCTTTGTCGGGAGTTTCTTGGCCACTGTCATATACATGGTGAGAAATCTGGTGTGTGCTATTTTTGGTGTAACTGTTATTGTTGCATTATCGGTATTGCTGTGCCGTTAGTGTTGTGATTGTCTTTTGCAATGATGGACGGAGTTGTAGATCACACACATAGTTGTATTATTGTTATTGTCGACGCGAATCGACTGACAGAAGTCTATATACAGGTATCACTTATTAGTATCATTATTGTTGTCGGTATTATTTTTATTATAATTATCACCATTATTTTCACCATTGGTATTCTAATCCACTGACTCTGATTATCAGTTTTAGAGTTGACAGTATTATCGTCATAAAGATACTTTTACGTGTATTGCCTAATTTACCATTTATAATCACGTGCACAACAGTAATAGCGTATAAATAATTTATTTCCCTAATTTACCATTTACTATCACATGAGCAGCAACGGTAATAGCAGTATGAGGAGGTAGTTTTTTTCCCATTAAGACAAACATCGCCCTCCAGACGAACGCCTGCTGTGGTGGCTCCGGCGGAACTCGTGGTCCTTGCTGGCATCCCCCGGGGTCTGAGTGGCGGCCTCATCACCCTCTTGATGGCCACTCGTACGTGTCCGACCTCTCGGGCCTCCAGTCCCGCACGCTCTCCGCATCGCCTTCCTGGACTTCACGATGTTCGTCGGCGCGCCCGTCGGCCTCTTCCTCAGCAGCGTCATCTTCTCCCGCTTCGGATACGTGGGCGTGTTCAGCATCAGCGGCGCGGGGTTCCTCCTCAGCGTCCTGTACATCCTCCTTCGCATCGAGGACACCGCTCGCACCACGGGGCAAGTGTGACATGGTGCGCGACCTCTTCGACCTGACCAACGTCCGCGCCACGCTGATTGTGGCCACCAAGCGGAGGAAGGACCATGGACGGGCCAAGATCTTCGCGCTGATGTTCGCCATGTGTCTCTTGCTGTTCGTTATTGTGAGCGTCGACTCTTCTTGCTTGAGCGAGACACTAGGTTATTTTCCACTCGCTATCCCCTCTCTCTCTCTCTTTCTCTGTCTGTCTCTGTCTCTGTATCGCTCTGTCTCTGTCTGTCTGTCTCTGTCTCTCTCTTTCTCTGTCTGTCTGTCTCTGTATCTCTCTGTCTCCGTCTCGCGCTCTGTCTCTCTCTCTTCTCTCTCTCTCTCTCTCTCTCTCTCTCTTCTCTCTTTCTTTCTCTTCTCTTTCTCTTTCTCTCTCTCTCTCTCTCTCTCTCTTCTCTCTCCTCTTCTCTCTCTCTCTCTGTTTGCCTATTTACGCACTTATATGTACAGCTTGACTCCAGATTCAGAAAAAAATGCGGAACTTTTCGCTGAGTCTGTCACGACGCGACCTTCGCCATAGACAGCGTTCATGAATATTAAAAATCCTTTGATAGAAGACCCCCCTCTGAGGAAGACTGGTCCCTTGTATAGAGCAAAGATGGGATGTTTGTCTTTTAGGATTTACCAGCAGCAAGGACATCCAGACCTTCCATTCTCGTCTTTTC